CCACAGTCCAATATTCCTGCTGCTGTCTGTCATGTTAATCAAAGAACAAAAGACAAAGAAATCACTTTCTGCACTTGACTGAATACGTTTTATTACTTTAAATGGTAAGCATTAATCTGTATTTAATTTTTACAATGAAGACTACAGAAATTAAAGTAATCAAATGTAAAATAACACTGGGTGTGTTATTTTGCATTTAATTACTTTAATTTCTGTAGTATTTCTTACCTGAATAAAAACTTACTTAACCTGAAAAACTTAGTTTCATAGCTCTCTTTATTCTATTGCATTTATTTGTGCTGCTGTTTGCAATTTTTTTGTGTTCTTATTTTATTACTGAGCAATCGGTGCATCTCTACAATTCATTGTTACGCTATGCATTTTAAATTCGGTTATAATTATTTATGACAAGATATAATGTATGCATCTCTACATGTGAAATAGTTTTAACAGTGTTTAAAACAACTTTCACTGTGTGAATTGTAATGTGGTTCATAGAGATGCATTTAGTTTTAAAATCATGTTGCACTGAACCCTTGTTAGGTCTGAATTCTCTGAACACACATTTTGCAACCTGAGCCTTTACCCTAACCAAGGGATTTAACTCCAGGATGTCTATGAAGTCGGTGTGGCTATAAGGCTTAAGATGAAAATCATATGCTAAATAACATCAAACTAAATCCATGCTGTCATGGTTTTAGCCATGCAAGCACAAGTTTCTTGTAGTGGTGCAAGAGTTCAGTCGCACTGTTTGCGTGAGGTTCATTCCCTATGAATGGCTTATAAAGCCTCTAGATTTATGATATAACAGCGATTAACCGAGAATTTGCAAATATGTAATGTGGCTCATATCTCAGGAAGCACACACAAGTGCAATTGCGGAAATCTTCCAGCATTTGCTGTTGGCAGAAGGCAGAGAACAATGAGGATTGCATGTATAGTGGTGGAGATTTTATTGGTTTTGCAGTTGATTTAATCAAATGCATTGATAAGCACATGCTAGCTGACGTGGCTGCACAATTTCAAAGCGCATGCCTGTTTGCTATAAATAAATATTGACAGGCAGACAGACAGACCTGAGTCGCTTGTCGATCTCGCTCTCATTCTCTGCTCAGTTCCTCATCATCTGCTTGCATTCACATTCAGATTTTTGGAAACAGAGTCTCAGGAAGGGCTAATCCATTTCCCCGCTGTGACCGAAAGCCATTGAGGAGAGCGAGAGAGAGATGTTTACCGATGAGCTGCGATCTTTAAATCACACAGATTTCACGTCAATAAAACGGAGTGATTCAGCACACTCTTGGATTGCATGTTTTCGGTTGTTGTTCGCAGTTTCAGGATTTGTTCCCCTCTGAAAGTCTGACTGACAAGATGGGTGGTAAAGGGTTGTCAGACGTTCTTGCTGAGCTTCAAGATGTTTCTGCTTCAGTTTAATCACGTCACCACCTGAAGAGCTGTAATTTGCACAGTTGCCCTCTGGCACGACTTGATTTAGCCAAGTAGTACATGTTCCTAGATCTTTTGTTGGTGCATAGCCCTAGTTGAACCCAGAACCCTAACCAATCGGGGGGATGATGGGGTAAGAATGTTGTACAAGCCCTTAACCCCAGCTGTAAGCCTAATCCTAAAACCTGATTGGTTGATACGAATGCTGTTCCAGAACAACAAGGATATTGATCCGGGAACATGTCTTACCTACTTAGGCAAACCATATTAAACATTTCACCAAGGTTATTATGCTTTGAAATGTTCATTTCTATTTTATTTTCATTTTATCGGTCTTTATTTTACTTAGTTTTTCACTCAATCACTGATGGTTTTAGTGTAGTTTTTTCTTTAATAGTTTTCTAGATTCAGTTTATTTAGTTTTTATTTTGGTTTTAGAATTTTAGGTCTGCCAAAGTTAATGCACTAAATGTTTCAATTAAAATTTTTGCTATCTAACCTCCGTAAAGTTTTCACATTTTGTAATATAGCATGTTTTAGAAAAACTAAACCTAAAATTGTCGCCTTTTTTATTTTTTAGCTATTTTTAGAGTACTGAAACCATTTTTTTATTTAGTTTCAATTTCGCCCATTGTTTTGTTTTGTTTTGTTTTTTTAGGTAAAAATAGTTTTCATTTAGGGTTTTGTGTGTTTGTGATTTTTATTATTTTTTTGGTTTGATTTAGTTTAGTTTCATTTCCTGGGCCACAGTAAGTCATGTAGGAGCAAACACAACATTAGCCGTAATATTCCATATATCATAAAATTAACCTTGATGTCTATATTAAGTTTAGGAAATCATTGTAATTGCTTAACGATTGACAATCAGATGTGCTGTAAAACAAAGTATGATACGTTTGCACATTTGTGCTGAAATCAAAGTCCTGATCTAGTTCCATCTGGGCTTGTACCCAAAAGGTTGCAATTTCGAACCCTCCTTTGCGCCCTTGAACAAGGCACTTCTCCTAAAGTTACTCCAGCAGGATTGTTCCTTTAACTTTACTTTTACTTTTACTTTTAGTCATTTAGCAGACGCTTTTATCCAAAGCGACTTACAAATAAGAAAATGTAATTAAAACTGAAAGCTAAAACTCTATAAATATTATATATATACACATTTAAGAAAATAAAAGAAATGAAATAAAAATGACAAATGCATACAACAACATTTCAAAACTAAAACATTTAAATGAAAACAAAAAAAATAAAGCTAAAAACAATTCAAAATATTAAAAGAACAAAAGGTATGAGTATAATAATGATTCTAACATAACACTAAGCCAAACACCAAAAAACAACTACATGTGTATGTACAGCCACACACACATATACATATACATGTACATATATATAAATACATTCAATATATATATATATTATTTCATTTCCATTTTGTATGCTGAAGTACTGAAATAACTCAAATTAAATAAAAGTAAAACTTAATAAAAAGCCTATATAGACATAATAAAAAAACTAATAAAATGACAACATGACTACAACTGTAACTAAAACTAAAATAGATAACTAATACAAATCAAACTACAGTAGTTTATCAGTAATCCTAAAAAAATAACACTGAGGCAAACACACATGCTAAAATAACAACAACTTACTGACACATAGTAAGAAATAGTTTATAAAAACCTGAAACAGAAGTGGAAAGAGGAGAGATAAAAAGCGATACTTATGTCCTTTGCCGGTGTCGTCGCACGGTAGAGTCGATGGTCTTTACACTCTTCGGTCTTACCACGACCGCAGCCGCGACCGCTTCCGCGGTAAACTAAGCCTTTTTTTATTCGTTTAACAAAACTCAAATTGAATTCAGCTGGACACACTTTCCTGTTTATCACAACAAATGGCCAAGCAAAGCGCACGACACTGACAAGGTACGCGATACAGTACGAGACCAAACGCCATTTCGGCACGTCTCCACAGTAAACAAAACAAGCGTTTCCACTTAACTTTTTAACTTCCCATTAGACTGTCTTTGCTAGTCTGAGAGTCGGCTGGTGGGTGGCAGCGCTGCCTAAAACATAGTCAGATGGTCCTATAACGCGTTCTCCAACAGAGCTGCTGTTTCCTGTGTCGACTGTCTGGCAGCACGCCCCGTTTTCTCCTCTTCCTCTGGAGCGAAAGAGCTGAAGATGGAGGGAGGCAGAGCAGGAACGCAGCCAGAGATTTATGGCCCGGGGGGAGATTGATTACGCCCGTCACTGGCCCTGATGTGCGCTTGGCATTTGCCCCCCACCCGACTCATCAGCATGTTACACATACACCCACACACAATATGGACATTTACACTCCAAGCAGAAACTCCTGGAAACCGCCTCGAGACCTTTTTGGGCAAAACACCATCCCAGTCGCCATCTGAACTGCAGACAGGCTCTCTTTTTCTCTTTTGACATCCGCATAATTTAAAAAAAAAAACACCTCGGAAGTGTTTCAGCAGGTCAGCGCAGGGTTTTGTTCTTACCGTGTGTGTTGTGAGCAGTGGTGGGTGCTTTATTCCTCTTGTGACTGAAGGAAGTGTTAGGCTGTTGATGGATGGGTGCTGTGGGATGGCCAGGAATGATGGGGCTGCTGGATTCCCATGTGATGCAGCAGGTGTGTGTTTGTAATTCAGCCCACAGAGCCGAGAGGCAGCTGGAGCAGCATTAAACCTCCACCTCACATACTTGTCTGTGTGTGTGTGTGTGTGTCCTCCTCCTGTGCTTCACAGGTGTGAGTTGAAGAACTGAATAAAAAAATATGTATACACATTGGAGCCTTGGCCTAGTGGTTGGCGCTTGTGCTCTGACACATGCGAGTTTGAATCTGGCATTTCCTGATCCTTTTCGTATTTAAGTTTAGTTTAGTTTTATTTTAGTTTACACTTTTATTTAATTATTTTTATTTATACTTTTGAAAATAATTCTTTTATTAATACTTTTAATATTTATTATTTTATTTATACTTTTTTAAATTATAATGTTATTGATAGTTTTCATATTTAAACTTTCATTTTTATTTTTATTTATGCTTTTAAGCAAGTGTAATTTTACTTTTACACTTATTTTTATTTGTAATTTAAAAATTAAATTTTTATAATTGTATTAATTTTATTTTTATGTTGTTAAAAATATAAATGTATAATTTTACTGATCATTTATTTATTTAGCAAACAAATACAGATAGATAAAGAAATATTTAGATACTTTTATTATTTAAACTTTTTATTTAGTTTTTTAAATATTTTTAAAAATAAACATTTGTAATTTTATTAATACTTTTATATTTATTTTATTTATTATTTTAAAAACATAAATATTTATAATTTTATTAATACTTTCAATATTTACATTTTTTATGATTTAAAAAAAAAAAATTCTAATTTTAAAAATATTTTATGTGCTATAACCTCTAGTTCCCAAATTACTTTTTATAATACTGTTTTTCCATCTAAATCAGTATAATTCCTGCACATCTTGCTTATTCTGACTACATCACTAACAATTAAATTTTTCTTCATTTTGCAGGTCGGCCTCGGCAAAAAAGTGTCTGTAGAATCATACCTGCGTCTGCGCAGTCATGCTGGCCTGTCTGCAGAGGAGGCAGAACCCTGCACCCCAGCACGCCACGGCCGTCTGCAGCAGCAGCAAGAGTCTTGAGCCAACACAACACATCAACCGCAAATGTGAGCAGAGTTTAGATTTCTTGTTTATTTCTGGTTTTAGATTAATTTGATCATAAATGACAAATACAAACGGTCGACAGCAAACTGGTTTGTCTTGCTGATTGCTGGCACAGCATATTAGATTTTCTTCCTTCTGATAGGACCGAACACTCAGACTGAATAACTAAATGTGACTGTGTAGTTAGGCACTGACGGCATTGAGGATGAGTTAAATGAACTTTGACAATAGACTCTTCTTTCACACTGTTCTATTAACAGAGCTTTTTATGTCAGCGTGAATGAAGCACATTCATGACCCCTGAAATGTTCACATCACATTAATTTCATGCCCCAAGAAGCTTCACTCCACTCACAGTGGCATTGTTTAGACATAAATAGTTAACATCTTGTTTTTCGCAGCCTTGATTGGAGCGCTGCTTGCTTTTGTCCTTGTGCTTGAGTCTGTCTGTTCTCCCCTCCTATAGTATTTTATACTCCACTCTACTGTAGTGTACTCTGCTGCAGGGGTTTTTGATGCCAAGGATCGAGAAATACAGTCGTCCCCTTGAATAATTGAAGAATTGGCTTTTATATTCTCATTGTACTAAAGCAAATTGTTCAAATATTAGCTGTAAAATATTCACTTTTTAAATGCCGATTTTTCATTTTTTAACTGTTGCTTTTGCTCTCAATAGAATAAAATATCAACAATTATTTTACCAATTTTTTTATCAGTCTTTAGAAAACTGAAATTAAATTCAAATCTATTAAATCTAAATTATTAGATTTATTACATCTAAATTTTGTTTTGAAATTAAATTAAATCTTGTCGAATTGGTTGAATGTAAATAAATAAATGAATACCAATATCTTAACTGCCCTTGTTCACTTTAACAGCTTTAATAACACATTTTACAAACAATAATAAATCAATAAAATATAAATTATCAAATGTTTTACAGACCTCCTAGTACCCTCTTATGTCTAGAAAAGCCCTAGTTTGGAGAACTCCTTTTCTACTGCACTTTAACCTGCTCTGCTCTAGTACATTATACTCAACTTAGCCTCTACCTGTCTATGTGCAATTCTGTGTGGAATGTCTATGGAAGGTCTTGTTGACCATATATGGATCATTTGTAGAGTGTTTGTCTTCATTGTTCAATAACCATTGAATCAGCAAGAATTAAAGACTTTACTGCTGAGGTTCCCTGCCACGGCTTCAAGGCTTCTAGCTCGAGGTTAGCTAAACATTTGCAGTGGTGTATGTCCTTACCGACTTACCTGTATGCAAATAAACACATGCTGAAACAAATCTGCTAATTTTCCATAAGTCGGTTTCACACATATGCACGAGTAACCCATGTAGAACAGATCCTCTGGTCGCCACACTGTGTATTTGTGTACATTTTCATGTGTATGTCCATGTTTGTTCAGGGTTTGTAGGAATTTTACAGACTGACAAATCTCATTCTGGCAGGCTCTGAGATTAAAGAAATGTTTTGGGGTTTTTTTCCGACCGAAGATCCCAGGGCTCTGCTTTAAGCTTCAGATTAGACTTAAACTGAGGGAGCTCTTCCTGTAATGAGAAGGAGAGAAGAAAGGAAAGAATAGAGAGGAAGAGGGAGATGTCCTTCTTTTAGAACATTCCATATGCTTTCGGTTCTGTTTTGTTGGTGTGGCAGTATTCCACATGCACAAGCTGATTATAGTGAGGACAGGCAGATGAGCTGAGGAACTTCTAACCATTATCCCTTAGGTTCAGCTCTGAGCTCAGAGCAGCTTAAAGGTAATAGGATGGCATCGTCCTCCTGCTGCTCTCTGATCAGCGTGGCATCGTTCTGCTTTCACCTTCTTGGCAAACAGGAAAAGGTCAAAGGGACAGCTTTTTTGGGAAAAGACATCCATGGGCACCTGCTGCCGTTGTCTGAGATGTTTCTGTTGTGAGGTTTTAAGAATGCGTGCGTGTATGTTTTGTAAAAGAGTGAACTTTGAGAACAGGAAGTGAAAGAACTTGACTGGCGCAATAGAAATGAATGAATAAGTGAGTAAGTGAGGGCGGATGGACGGATGGAGAAGCAAAAGGATGGATGAATGAATGTATGATTGAATAGGTGGATGGATGGATGAATGAATGAGTAGATAGATGGATGAATAAGCATATTGATGGATGAATGAATACATGAAGGAGCAGAATGGATGAATGAATGAAGGAATGAGTGGATGGATGGATGGATGGATGGATGGATGAAAGGAAGAATGGATGAAGAAGCGGATGGATGGATGGATAGATGGATGGATGGATAAGAAGCAGATGATAGATGAATAGATAAGTGGATGGATGGATGGATAAGCATATCGATGGATGGATGAATGAATGCGTGAAGGAGCAGAATGGATGACTGAATTAATTAATGAGTAGATGGATGGATGAAGAAATTGATGGATGGATGGATGATTGAAAGATTGAATAAGTGGATGGGTGGATGGATGGATAGATGAGTTATTGAGTGGATAGATGGATGAATAAGCATATTGATGGATGGATGGATGGATGAATGAATGCATGAAGGAGCAGAATAGATGACTGAATGAATTAATGAGTGGATGGATGGATGAAGAAATTGATGGATGGATGATTGAAAGATTGAATAAGTGGATGGATGGATGGATAAGAAGCAGATGATGGATGAATAGATAAAGTAGTGGATGGATGGATGGATGGATAAGAAGATGGATAATAAATGCAAAGAGTTTTTAACAAGAATTTTGGCTTGAAATGTGACATGGTGATCATTAACGAACTTTGTGGGAATGCCACTAGGGTGACCAAAGAATATAATTTCCGTTTTCTTTTCGTTTAGATTAAGAAAATGTGATGATATCCAGATTTTTATGTCTTCCATACACTCCATTAGAGGGCCCAGGGTGATGTTACCCGAGTGTTTAAGGGGCAAATAAATCTGGGTGTCATCGGCATAGCAATGAAAAGATACACCATGCTTTCGGAAAATAGAACCCAATGGGAGCATATATAAAGAAAAAAGGGTAGGAGCTAGTATAGATCCCTGCGGAACCCCCCATGGGAGATTGGCATGTTATGAGCTTGTGCTCTACTGCGGCGATCTCTCAATCAAAAGCAAATGGACGCCAGGAAGAGTGAGTGAGTGAGTGTGTGAGACAGAAAGAGAAAGAAAGATCCATTGTCCATTCAATGGATGAATGGGCAATCCAAGTGGAGGTATAAATGTTGTATAGATAAAGAAGTTTCAACGATCAATGATTTTGCATGGAAAAGAAAAAAAAGAAGAGAAAAGAGATGGAGACCGCCATGTTTGATTTAAATTGATTCCCTCCCTCCAATTTCAGCAGGATTTAGCCACTTCCTTTCTAGACTTCTTATTGAGAAGCAGTCAGTAGGGGTCTGAGGCTGAAATCAATAGCAAAAGAACAGTTTCTTTCTCTTTCTGTCTCACACACTCACTCACTCACTCTTCCTGGCGTCCGTTTGCTTTTGATTGAGAGATCGCCGCAGTAGAGCACAAGCTCATAACAATAAGTAATAGACCTTTGTGCGTGTCATTGATTAGAGTATCTGTGTCTGCGCTGTGGTTTCAGTATATATGGACTGCACCGTCTGGTCTGGAGCTGCAGACAGGTGTCAGGCTTTGGACGGAGAGAGAGGCCAGTGTGTCTGGAGATGATGAAGGTGGACAGGTTCCTGCTTTCTGTCCTCCTCAGATCCGGCATGAGTAGAGAGAGAGGATTTGGGAGGGTATTCAAATAACTATAAAGTAAAAGCCCCCTTCTGCATGCAGATGCCGAGCGCCTGCACAGTTCATTGATGCGACTCCCATTAAAAAATGCCTCATACCCTCAATAAAAAAGGGACTTAACTGGCTCCAGCATCAGCTGCGAGTGCTCCGATCGGCCCGCCAGACAATCAATTTCCCCAGAGTGCATGGAGCTTAGCAGGCGAGAGAGAGAGGCGGGAGATAGGAAAGGAGGTTGTTTTCATTATCACACCTCTTTCCCTGTCTGAGCAGAAAGAGAGCTCAAAAAAACGAGAGAGAAAGTCAGGCGAGTTGCAAAGTGGAGGTAGCGAGAAACCGAGAGAGATAGCGAGCGACGTGCTTTTTAAAAAGCCGTTGACCGCCTGCCCTTAAAAATATCGTATTAGATTAGCTTCAGTGAGGAGGCCTTTTGAGTTATCCCCCTTCTAGCCAAGAAATGAAAAAGAAACGCCAGGCATTAGTTAAATTATAAATCACAGCCGCTTGCTTTCAGCATGCCTAAATTCTCGGAGTATGTGGCGGCACTCTCGCGTGTCAGGGCTTGTCGTTCCTAATTAAATTTCCCTGTTCGGGTGACATTTGTAGCTGTCGTGCAGCCCCCGCCAGTGTCTGTCTGCCAGTAGCTTAGATGGCGACATGAAAGTCTGAGCGGAGGGCAGATCCCCCTTCATCACTGAGCACCCTGGGGACAGGAGCACCGGGGCCGGACACATCACAGCCACTCCGACGCTGACCTCCGCAATGCATTCTGGCTGCTTTTCTGCCTTTCTTGCTTTCGTAGCTCGTTCTTTCCTTCACACCTTCTTTTGCTCTTTCACTCTCTTTTTCACGTTCTTTTGAATATTCCCTGCTCCTTTATTAGTTCCAGCCCTTTCTTTCTTTTCCTCTTTCTTTCTTTTTCTCTTTTTCTTTCTTTCTCTTTGTTCACGTTCTTTTCTTGTTTTGTTTAACTTTTTTCACACTTTCAATTTATTTTGCATATATTTTCCCTGCTGTTTAATTGGTTTCTTTCTTTCTTTCTTTCTTTCGCTTGTTTACTTTCTTTTCTTCCGTTTTATTTAACTTTTTTCACACTCAATTTATTTTGTATATTTCCTGCTGTTTAATTACGTTGCTGTTTTGTTCTTTCTTACTTTTTGGTCTCTCACTTTCTTTTTCTTTCTTTTTTTCTGTTCACTTTTTCTCTCTTCCACTCATTTTTCTTTATTCTTTAATTCACTCTCTCATCCT